AAGAATGCACTTGGTGTGAAGCACCAGCAGGCAGGCAGCTCAGCTGGTGTGAGCGCCCCACCCGGTGGTGGTCCAGGGGGCTTTGTACCCTCCCCAAGGGCTCAGAGCTCCCTGCAGGTACCCCGGGCAGCAGACTAGGTGTCCAGGTCCCCTTCTGCATTGTTGCGGCTGATCTCAGAATGTCTGCACATACATCTGGTCCTCTTGTTGGGCAAGGCCTCAGGCAACTTTGTTCAGTGGGTGAGATAAATCAATCCCCTTGGCTTTCTCCCTTCTTGCCTTTGCTACTCTAGTACAGTGGGGCCTTGACTTACGAGTGTCCCGACTAACAAGTTTTTCGAGATACGAGCCGTCTCTCAGCCGATTTTTTGCTTTGAGTTGCGAGCTAAAATTCGGGTTACGAGCCAGCTTCAGATACCCCACCGCTAGTTGGCGCAGCAAACGTCACAGTGAACGCCACAACATCAGCCCAGCATCACGTGTCTCACTCGTTCACTTTTTGATTTGACATACAAGTAATTGGAGTTACGAGCTCCGTCACGGAACGAATTAAACTCGTAAGTCAAGGCCCCACTGTAGCTGTTTAATCTGCCCCACAGCTGCACCCACGGTTCTTTCTAACGTGGCTTCCAGGGGCTCTATTTCTTTGCTTCCTTGTCTTCTCAGCCGTGTGTGTCTAATTCACTGATGCCTCCGGAGTGTCTCGATTAGCTAATGGACCAAGTCAACAGACTCCTTCGGACCTTTGCCGTGGGCTGAGGCCTTGGTCTATAAAGCTGAGAATGTTCTAATGGGCCTTTTTCAGTTTTATTTCCTGTTATTTGGGGTCCTGTAGCTGTTACCTTTTCCAACACTACACGGCCTCACACACGTTCATTCCCCCTTCTGTGTTGGCAAACAGTGTCTTGCTTGCATGTATCTCTTCCTTACGCCTCACTACAAATGAAGGAACAACCAACACACAGGGATGTCTGGCTCAGTCCCACCTCTTTCCCCTGGAGTCACAGCCTCTACGTCCCTGGTCTTCCCTTCGAGTTATTGCAAGTTTTGATTTTTGCAAACACTTTGCCTCTGCATAACATGAGCCTCCAACTTTCCACTCTGCAATATCTATGTTCATGTTCCCTGTTGCCTAATCACTAAGCCAATCCTATGGACTTCGGGTTTTAAATTACAGAAGCACCATACTTCACGGTGTTAGTCCACTACCTGGTATGACAGACAGACCTCAACATGTAGAATGCTGAAAACACGACAGATATGCAGTTCTTGCTCAATAACAAGCCAAAAGGAGAGTTAGTTATTGACAGGTTGGTTTTCTCCACATAGCGACGCAGGGACCCGTGTTCTGTACAGCCGGCGAGTTTACAGTCCCTGAAGCCTGGTCATCACGGCGCTCAGCATGGAACGAGGCAGATGGAGCCGCGGAGGCCTCCGCCTCACTCCCACGCACATGCCACCGGCTGGAACGCAGCCTCGGACTCACCTGCTACGAGAGGCTGGTGGGTGCACTCTGTCCACAGTGGGAACAGACGAGCGGAGCGGCCTCTCTCACCACCAGGCTCTCCACCCTCTGGCCCGCCCACCGCTCCGGGCAAGGGCCCAGCAGCAGCCCCGGGACATGGCTGTGGGTAACACTTCTGTTCCTCCAGCTGTGTCATCGCAGCTGCGTGCATTTGCTAGTATTGGGGTCACCTCGCCTTCTTACTTGTGCTCCTCCCGTCCTCCCAGCAGTTTCCACCGCCAGTCCCCACACTAGGCCCGTCCGAAGCACCTGCAGCAGTTTCCTTCCCGACTCTGTGCAGACCGCCCTTCGAGCAAGAATGGCCTGAGACACGATCTTACACACGGAAACCTGGGGTCAATGACCCAGCCCGACTGGGCCAGTAACAACTCGCCTGCCCAGGGAGATGGAGCTCTGGAAGGTCAGAGCAGGTGGCGACATGTTAGTCTCTCACCTATTTGATGAGCCTGAGCGAGGCGCTTCTCGAAGGTGGAGCTGGGAGGCTGCCCGGCTGCCCCTTGTCACTGCGGTGGGGACAATAAAGCCACAAAGCCCTGGGGGGTGGGGGAGCTGCTGGGACCACCCTGGAGTCGGCGGAAAAAAACTAGACTCAGCTCCCGGCGGAAGGACAGAACCAGAGAGCGTCTCTGAGAGCCAGAAGAGAATCTGTTTAATATCCTATAGCCATGAGAAGGACACAACTGAAAACCACCCAGTATTGGGCCTGCAGGCTACAGTTCCGTGCCCTCATAGAAAACTTAGGGTGCTGATTTGGAGGAAGTGGGGCCCTGAGAACAGCAGAGGGGACATCTGGGTAGACATCAGCCAATCAGAGGCTTCTGCGCTGAGGACCAAGCGAGGGGATGGGTGGACGCTCCGTCAATCTCCCCATCACAGTGGCCTGGCACGCAGCCACCTTCTCAGCATCCGCCGGGCATCCCCATCAGCCATGGACCTTGCGGCTCCAGACAGAGCCCTTCCCAGCCTTCCCAGTGACCAGGGGAGGCGCAGGGACAGTGCACGGCCCTCCCGGGCCGTCCTCGCGAGCGGACAGAGGGCACATTGTGTTATGGGGAGGGGGATGGGCACAGACCCTGCCCCTGCCTCCCAGCCTCCTGCGGCTACAGGGCCTGCCCCCTCATCTATCCGACAGGCCTGATGGCCTGGCCACCGAAATGCCCTCTTCTTTCTCCTGTGTTTGGGGGCAGCACGGTCACCCCCAGGCTGGGAACTAGGAGGAAAACATCCCACTCAGAAAGGAGTCCCCCATCCCTGTACACCCCAACTGGGGATCAACCTGCAACCAGGTACATGCCCTGACTGGGAACTGAACTGGTGACCTTGTAGTGCATGGGACGGTGCTCAACTAAGCCACACCGGCCAGGACCCCCTCGATCCTGTTTTGAGGCCATTTGTGACGTTGCCCCCACAGGCCGGCATGGGCACCCCATCTCGCTCCCCTGGACTAGAAGCCCCAAGAGAAGGCTTTGTAGGGGGAGAGAGACACGTCTAAGAGCAGCAGCTGATGTGAGGCCCTATGACATCACCGCCTCTTCCAGGTGAGCCCTTGCAGCCGCTCTGCGGTGAAGGCATGGCCAGGCCTCAGATGACCCTTCCCTCAGGTGGAGGCAGGGACAGGGCAGGGCCCTGGCTGGCGGTGAAAGGGGAGAAGGCACGGGAGCAAGATGCCCCCCAGACCTTGGTGGCCCTGCTGTCTGGCTGTGAGACCTCGGCCACCCTGTGCGCACGTGCCGTCCTTTCCCGCCTGGAACGGCTGGGCTGCGAGCGAGGTCAGGGCAGCAGGGATGGAGGGCGGGGAGCCCCGCCCAGCCCCTCACACCTGCGGCTCCCACGCCTCAGCTTATTCACTGTAAACGCAGGGCCAACCAGCAGGCAGTCCGAGGCCGGCCACGGCTCCCGCTGACACGCATGTCCGGCGCTCTGGTCAGGAACTTAAAAAACAACAAAGGGGCCCAGGGCCTTGGCCAGACGTCACCCAGAGCGGGTCCTGAGGGGGGAAGGCACGTGAGTTACGACCTGTTTTGAAATCTAAGCGAGATGTGAGGAACCCGGGCCTGTGAGCGACCTGCTGGGAGGGGCTGGTGCCGCCCCGGCCACAGCGAGGGCTCCCGGCCTCCTGGCTGGGAGGTGGAGGGGGGCGGGCTGGATGCCAGACACATGG